ACTGGGACCTCTGGAAGAGCAGCCAGTGCTCTCAACCCCTGAGCTACCTCTCCAGCCCTGTCCCTCCCTCCTCCCCCTCCCCCCAAGAGCAAAGCTTCTTAACAAAGCATTTTATCACACACACACACACACACACACACACACACACACACACACTTGGTGTACGTGATAATCTTATGCCAACTTGACACCATCATTGTCATGTTAGAAGAATGTCAATTGAGAGAACTGCCTCCTGTAGGCAAGCCTGTAGGACATTTTATTTAGTGATTGATGTGGGAGGGCCCAGTCCATTGTGGGTGGTACCACCTCGGGCTGATGGTCCTGGGTTCTGTAAGAAAGCAGGCTGAGCAAGCCAGTAAACAGCACTCCATGGCCTCTGCATCAGCTCCCGCCTCCAGGTTCCTGCCCTGTGTGACTTCCTGCCTTCAATCTCCTTAATGGACTATGACTCAGGATTTGTAAGTCAAAAAAAAAAACCTTTCCTCTACAAGTTGCTTTTGGTCACAGTGTTTCATCACTATGACACTTGGTAGAATTATTTTCTAAGATATTACAGTTGCTACATTTGATTTCAAATGAGAATCTGTACTTCCTGCTAAAACATTTATCCGTCAACAAATACAAAGGCACTTTCCCATTCCCTGTGTAAGTCACTAACAGTGTGGACTGATCTGTGAATCTATACAGACATCCTGTTATACATGCTCACCGGAAAGACAACTGTTAAGGATAAGAGTGTAAGAATCTGTAAGCCCAGGCAGGTTTTAACATATATTTTTTTTATTAAATATGTAAAAAGATCAACGCAAGTCAAGTTATTCACATATTCAGAGACAAAAAGCTATCCTACCATGCGACAATAGGTGGGCAATGTAAAATGAATGTGATGCATCTGAATAAGACCTTTTCATCTATTATGTCATTACTTATCGATATTTATAATTAACAATACATATGTTTACATTCCTTTCAGTTTACATTTAATATATAACAAAAGCTTTATGGTGTACTATTTAGTAAAAGTAATCTGAATGCATATTAAACCTTAACGGAATAATGGAGACACTCACCAGGGAAGGGAGGGAATCGTGGTTCCCTTCTGGAGTTTCCTTCTCTCAGTTCAACAGTCCTGCTTTCCTACTTAGAATGAACATGAGCTTTCTCTTTGTCCCCTGCTTCGATCACTTCCAATCTAACAGCGGTGATGGAAGTGCTATAAGCAGACACCAGTGGGTGTGGGATGACCAAAAAATAAAAATAAAATAAAAATCAGACTTCCTGAGAGGGAGAAGCAGGGCACACATGCTGGGATGCTTCTTAACTCAGTGTGATGTCATGTGGCCGGGATGGGGCTTAGAAGAATGTGTGCCCTGAATGCCAAGAGGACAAATGTGTCCCACCATCCATCAGTGGTGGGTGCCCAGAGGCAGGGGTTCCAGCCTAGGAGTAACTTGGAAACAGCTGTGAAGGATTTCCCCCCAAGCATCCATGGCATCATCTGGGACACAACACTTGAGAAGATATTTAAGATGGGAATGGGAAGAGGAGGTACAGCTTTTCTCTAAATGGATGAATGGTCTGGCCTGAGCCACTGGGAAGGAGAATGGTCATACCAGCTGGGGAACACTCTTTTCAGGCTAAGACACATGGCCAGTAGGTCTCTAGCTAAGCTGTCCAGCAAAGTGGAGAGGAACAGAGTGCTTCCAGCGAGAGGCATTGGGGAGATTTATGCAAGAGGCCTGGGAGAAGACAAGATCCTGACTCCCTGGTACCCATTCACAGAAGTGTGGCCATGAATCACCCAGCCCTAGGTATTACTGAGATCTCCTGGGCAGGTAAATCAACCACTCAGGTATCCATGAGAAGCTGTTTATTGTACCTCTTTATAATAGATATAAAACAAACAAAAACAAAGTAAGTGAATAAAAAGGCTCAGAAGAGCAACAAACCAGTAAGCCTGATGCTGTGTATAGCACAGCCACTACCACAACCAGGCGTGGGAGGATGTCACTGCAAGGAGCAAGGCTTTCCAGCCTCAGAGAGATGAGCTACTGCTGTAGGGCTGAGTGAGCAGGAGAGAGAAGAAAGGGGAACCAAACACCATGGAACATCTGTCCGCTTCTGCACAGTGTGTTGTGATCATCTCAAAAATGCAAGCCATCTTCCCATAAAGACCTCAGTACATACAGCTGCTGTAAAGGGTTATTTCGGAAAGCCTTCTCTTGATGCAAAGCTTCAATGCTAGAATTTAAAAGTTAGGATCTCATCAATTAATAAAGAAATTTCAAAGCTTTATGATGCATAATTCAGAAATTTATTTTGAGATTTTTAAGTGGAAGTGGGGGGGGCACATTTGTTTCTTGTTTTTCTGCACTTGCTGGCCAAATGACCAGTGACAGTAAACCTAAAGTTAGGAAAACCAAATGAAAGGAGGGAGCTAGGAGGGACACCATCTGTCAAAAGGGGAAGACAGGCAACGGCCAGGAAAGACACTAAGAAAATGTGCAAATATTAGTTAAAGACAAGGAATGCTTTCAATTCATTAATGTTTCCTATGTTATAAATTGCCATGGTTTAGCAAATGTCAATGACAAGGAAGGCCCCTGTATTGCAGAGGTGGGGAGAGTCCTTACTCCATAGGGTACTGGGAGTCACTGGTGTTTCTGTGTAGAGCTACACTTCTTCCTTGAAGTCATGCTACCAGTCAAGTCTTCACTTCCAACCTTGCAGCCAGGCCAACCCAATGCAGAAGGCTGGCATGTTGGGTACATCCTCAAGTTACCCTTTAATATAGATCCCCTAATGTGAATTGTAGGGCTTGTGTTGAAGCCCTTACAAGGAAGAAGAGGGATGAGGCAGGAAGCCTTCTGAGACACCCCCTGGCTTAGGAACTGCAGACTGCCAATGACAACATCTTGCGGGGAATGGACCCCCACCAAAGAGGACCCTGAGAAAAGAAAATAACACGAGAGCCTGGGAAGTGGGGAGGGAGGGCAGGGCACACGGAGCAAAGGCAAAGCTGAGATGGTGTTGTCTGTGAATGAATGTCTGAAAACTAACAACTGTGGTTGTCTAATATGCTGCTCTATCAACACTGCTGGGCCCTGAAATCCTAGTTTTGAATCCATTTTTTTTCCCTTTAGTGTTGTGAGTAGAGGGAGAAACTGTGTTTTCCCATGACACAAGCTACTGTCATATGGCTTTCATATCAAGTATCTGTTTCCCTTTGTTCCAATTACTTATCTGACCAAATTTATGATAGGAGGTTAGACTCGCAAACATTAAAGCACCACAAATGCATGTGACATCTAGTGACACTGGGTTGAGAAATGCCAATATAAATACCATATACCAAATTACCATTGTTTCACACCAGGATAAAAAGGGGTGGTGGTGGTGGTGGTGGTGGTGATGGTGGTGGTGGTGGGGTGGGAAAAGAGTTGTTCTGGAAAGAAATGAGGAAGAGTAGAACCAATTTCAAGCAGCCAACTGGTGAAGTTGAAGGTATGTGACCCTATGACCTCGCAGGCAGGTGACCAGAATGGCCTTCTGCGAATGCATCTTGGCAAAGGAAATGGGACCAAGTGCAATGGCTGGCAGATGCGATTTCGCTGTGGATGGTAACGGCAGGTTGGGAACAGCTGGTTTCTACCGAGCTCCAGGCCACACATGTTCCAATTCTCCAGAAGAAAAGTCCCCACACACGATGGAAGTGTCAAGAGCTGCTGAGATGGTTCAGTACTCTTCTTGCTGCTGGGGCTGTTGGTCGTGGGCTTGCTCTTCTGCTTCTGGCTCTTCTGTTTGGCCCTCCTGTGGTGGAGGGGAGAAGTTTCAGCCAAACTGATTGACTTTCAGGTCCTGTGAGGTGTCAGGGCCTAATCACCACAACCACCAGGCTCTGGAGCACGCCAGGCTCAGGCACACAACACACAAATGTTCCTAACTTCTGGGTGTCAAGGCTAGATATCGGGACACCTTCACTTCCCCTTCACTTCCCCGTGCTACCCAAGGAGGGCCATTCTGCAAAGCACAACCATCAGGTGTTAGGGACCCATCTTCTCTTACCCGCTTTATAGGAGATCTTCACAGGACACAGTGTGTACTTTCCTACCCTCAGCAAGAGTTGATATGTCAGCACAGTGACTCAATGGCCTCATAATTGTGAAGGAGCCTAAAACAAGACCCCAGGCCTCTGCAGGGCCCATGATGCATTGCTCCTGACCTACTTCCTGTTCCCTCTGATGCTGCCATTCTTCATGCCTGGGAGTGTGTGCCTGAAGCAGATCCTTCCTGTCATCTAATGCCAATATGAGGTGGACTTACGACACCAGAGAAGCCACTTGTTAGTTCCCGAGGGGAAGGAGAAGGGTGACAGCCCATCTCATAGGCTGCCATAGGCAAAAAGGCCTACAAGAGCTGGTCTCGAACTCACAGAGATCCGCCTGCCTCTGCCTGCTGGATGTTTTTCATAGTCAATATTTTAAGTGTCAGCTGTGATTATAATTTCTTAGCGGGAGAACACTTTAGAATACAATTTCAGATGTGCATACAATTAATAGAAAGTTACCCTTTTTACAGCAGCCAAAAGTGCAAAGTGACATCAAATTGAAGACCCGAGGCTGATTCTAGCACTTGTCCTTTATTGTCTCTGGGTCAATGGCCACATAATTTGGTAAATGTCAGCTCTGACTATGCCCATGACCACACTGTTGTCACCTCCTAGAACCATCCCATCTTTAGAAGGTGAAGACAGATATCTTGCTCTCTCTTCTCTTTTTCTAACTCTCTCTCACACTCCAGGCCCCAGGGCTTTGCCATGGCTGCACATTTGGCAGCAGCCTGTGCCAGTCACTTTGTCTACTGCTTGACATGTATGGTAGTAACCCTCTCAGCTTAAGGAATTAGAGCTTTGGCTGACAGTGGCACTATCAGGACCAACTGGCAATGTTAATAGACACAGATCAGACAGCAGGTGCTGGCCTTGGTCAGAGCAGGTGGCTCTCTGCTCTAGGGGATATGTGGGAGGGTACAGGGTCCATTCCCCACATGAAAACATACTTCTAGAAGCTTCTTTCCCTACCCCTACTCCCATATTAATGCTCTTGTGGCTAAGCTTCCATCTCTCATTCTCCCTTCTCTGTGTATTCTACTGGGAAACTGCCCAGCTTCCACTGCAGCCAGGCTCTAGCATCTACCACACTGGGGATGTTGACTTACTCATTACCCTAAGTCTCCAGTCTGATGTGCTGCTGTTTTTCATACTGTAGCTAACCCTCAGCTGCACACTTTTCTAACATAATTGTTTCTGTGTGCGGTCTCAGACATGAGGCATGCTTTGCATTTTATAGACAATCTTTTCACCATTGGGAGTGAACTCTCGGATAACAGGACTGAAAGCAGGGAGCCTGGGCTCCAGTTAGCACAGAGCCAGGGACAAGCTGCAGGTCCTGATTCTTGGCCACGAGTCCAGGTCCTTCTCCTCAGATCCAGGTCAAGCAAGGAGGTGGCTCTGCGGCCTACAGCTGGAGAAGACAGTTCCCCACATGCACCAGGCAGAAGTGCCAGCCATGGGAAACCACTGGTGATGCTACATATCCATGGGGACTACCAATCTTCAGGACACGCTTATTGGGCAATGCTGGTATGAACAACAAACATGTCCATTTAGCTGCTTTGCTAATGCTTGGGCACAAGCTAACTCAGGATCCTCAAATGCTGCCATAGACTCCCTATAGGTGGCTAGGCAAAACCTATGCTGAACATGGGACTGATATCCTTGTGATTCACCAGGAGGGTACCAACGTTTCCATGGCAATCCATTGCACTTCTCTAAATGCTTAATTGTGAGTGATGTTACTATTGTCTACTTTTACTAGAACTATCAGAGTTAGACAGAGGGGCAGGTAGGGAGACAGTTTGGTTGATGGAAAATGAGGTCAAAGATCACCAGAAGCTGATGTCCCTGCTCCCTAAATGGGAGACACTTAGCCTTATCCCCCACTGTGTGCCAGCCACAGCTGGCTGCTCTTCTTTCTCCATCTTGGCTCTATAACTGCTGATGTCCTAGTCACAGTTCAGCCTCCAACACAAACACCATCTTCATAGTGACATCTGCTGGGTTCTCTAGGCTGTGTGTGCTCCACACAAGTTATTTATGTCTCTGTTATCACATATATCATGATCTGTCACATTTCCAAGTAGGCCTTGTCCCTGGCTGTCTCCCTCCTTAGGTCTGTGAGTTCTGAGGCAGTGGCTGCATTTATCTGTGGATA